TCTCTCTGTCCCAAAAATAAATAAACGTTGAAAAAAAAAATTAAAAAAAAGAAACACCATAAACAAAAATAAATTCAAAATGGATGAAAGACTTTATGTGATACAGGAAAAAATAAAAATTCTCATGAACACAGGCAGTAACCTCTTTGACATCAGCCTTAGCAACTTCTTTCTAGATCGATCTCCTGAGGCAAGGGAAACAAAAGCAAAAATAAACTACTGGGACTTCATCAAAATAAAAATCTTCTGTACAGCTAAGGAAACAATCAACAAAACTAAAAGACAACCTACAGAATGGGAGAAGATATTTTCAAATGACATAGCCAATAAAGGGTTAGGATCCAAAATCTATAAAGAACTTATAAAACTTAACACCCAAAAAACAAATCACCCAATTCAAAAATGAGCAGAAGACATGAATAAATATTTTTCCAAAGAAGACATACAGATGGCCAACAGACACATGAAAAGATGCTCAACCTCACTGATCATCAGGGAAATACAAAAGAAAACTACAATGAGGTATCACTGCATATCTGTCAGAATGGCTAAAATCAACAACACAAGAAATGAGGTGTTAGAGAAGATGTGGCTTGCACTATTGATGAAAATGCAAACTGGTGCAACCACTGTGGAAAACAGTGTGGAGGTTTCTCAAAAAGTTAAAAACAGAACTACCCTACCATCCAGCAATTGCACTGCTAGGTATTTACCAAAGAATACAAAATACTAATTCAAAGGGATACATGTACCCCAATCTTGAGATTGGGGTTATTATCTACATTATCTGCAATAGCCAAATTATGGAAACAGCCCAAATGTCCATTGGCTGATGAATGTTTAAAGAAGATGTAGTATTACTCAGCCATAAAAAAAGAATGAAATTCTTGTCATTTGCAATGGCATGGACAGAGCTAGAGAATATTATGCTAAGTGAAATAAGTCAGTCAGAGAAAGACAACACAATATGATTTCACTCATATATGGAATTTAGGAAACAAAAGAAATGAGCAAAGTGAAAATGAAGAGATATGCAAACCAAGAAACAGACTCTTAACGACAGAGAACAAATTGATGGTTACCAGAAGGGAGGTGGAGGGGATGGGTAAAATAGGTGATGGGCAACAGGGAGTGAGTGCACTTGCTGTGATGATCACTGGTTGAGGTATGAAGTGTTGAATCAGTATATTGTACACCTGAAACTAATATTATACTATATGTTAACTAATGGGAATTTAAATAAAAACTTAGAAAAAAAAGGCATCTCTACCTGATTCTTCTTACTCCCTACCTACATTGTAATGAAACTCCACTAACCCTCAAATTGGAGGGGAAGATTCATGGTATACATACAGTTATAGATCAATAGCAGTAGACTGTTGAGCATACAGAATACAAATAGTTGTGTAACAGAGGCTATGTTAGAAGCCACTAAATCATAATTCCAACTATAATCTAGTATAGGAAAGGAACTAACTTTCAAAGAGAAAATGTAAAACTACAGAATGAAAAAGAGTGATACCAGGAAAATATTATCTGGGCATGATAACACCATCTAATCAAAATCTTGAAGATTAATTCAACCTATCCATCCTATCACAGGTGTACCTAAAATAAATACTTGCATCTATTCAAAGAACTATCCACATCACATTATACTTGAAAGACATACCTGGACCAAGATTGTTCTATGTAGCCTTCCATTCAATATGACTGCCTTTAACTCTGATGATGGCTTGCTGAATTTTTAGTATAAGGTTTTTTCTTTTAACAAAAAATAAATTTAAGAAATTTGGTTTATGTATAAAAGTCTGGTTTCATTTGACACAGATGAAACAGGGCAATCAAAGGAAAGTAAGAGTTCAAAGATTTATTCTAGTCAAGTATGAATGTATCAGAAAAGAATCAGTAGATGACATGATGAAAATATGGATTCATATTCGTATGGATTCATAAATTTTCTTCATGCCTCTACATACTGGAAAGAAGATGGGCAAACTCTGTTGTCCCCACGGCACAGAGACTAACTGTGGCTAGGGGATGGAAGAAAAAATTCCTAATCTCAAGACCCAGAACACAGCCATCTTAAGAGTGAGGCAAAACCAGAATACAGAACATCACCCCACGCTCCACCACCCACCTCCAGGCTAGCAAACACCAAATAACAAACAACAGCACTACTGCTGAAAAAAAGGCAACAGTGTGGAGAGAGAAAGACACACCCTCTAAGACTCAGTGTCACAAGGACTAAAGCTGAGTGTGAAACAAGGATATTGAGGGAAAAAACCTCCAGTGATATAACTCCCACCCTAAGCACAAAGAAATACCAGAGGAATTGAACCTGTAGTATGTTAAGGGTAACCATGGCAACAAGAAAGCTACAACCCAGTTCAACTCACTATTAAGTGAAACAAAATTCCATAGTAATGACTTAACATAAGAAAAGGTACACCTATTTTCAGATATATATACACTATTTATCTTAGTCCTAGATATAATTTCTTGCTTTTAACCAAACATGATATAACACCAAAAAAAAAGCAATGGGAAAAAATGGACTGTAAGGAGACAAAGCAATCAGTAGAACCAGACTTATAAATGACCCAGCTAGTGGAACTATCAGACAGAAAATTTTAAATTACTATTATTAGTATGTTAAATCCTTTGGTAAAAAAGGAGGACAACATGCATGACCAGAATGGGAATTTTAGCAGAGGGTCAGAAACTGCAAAAATCAATGCAAATGCTAGGAAAACAACAACTACAACAACAAATGACAGGGATGAAAAATACCTTTGATGAGCTCATCAGCAGACCTGATACACTGAAAAAGTGAATCAGTGAAACTGAATAAAGGTCAATAGGTAGAAACTACCCACACTAAAACACAAAAAAGTGTGTGTGGGGTAGGGTGGAGACTAAAACGAGGCATCTAAGAACAGGGACAAACATCAAATGGTATAGTATTTAGGAAACTGAAGTAGAAGATACAGGACAACTCAGAGGAAATTGAAACCCCAAAAGTAGAAGATTCAGGACAGCTCAGAGAACACCAATCAGGGTAAATGTCCCAAATAAATAAACAACTAGATAAACATAAATAAACATATGTACGATCCAGAATAAGATACATCATGCTCAAACTGATGAGAACTATAGATAAAATAAAGATAAAATCTTAAGGACAACCAAAAAATTATATATATATATATATATATATATATATAT